TCAAATGGGCAGCCAGTTGCCCCAACACTGTTTACTAGTCAGTACTTATGCCACTTTTATTGGTTGTTTGTTTTAAATAGGCTCCATGTCCAGCATGGGGCCCAACACGTGGCTTGAACTCACAACCATGATATTGAGACCTGAGCTGAGATTGAGTCGGACGCTTAATCAACTGAGCCAACATGGGTGCCCCATGCCACTTTTAATAGATTCAATAGAAACAGACTGAAGTTGATTTCACTGATGATGTTCTAGTCCTAAGACATTACCTTGCTATTTTAATTGTTAGCAGTAGAGCTGGTGTACATTGATAACTGATAAGGAGTTGCCTTTATTATTACTGAATTTTTCCCCCCATAACTCTTGGCTATTCCTACGCATTTTCTCTTCTGCATGAACTAAAGAATCAGCTTGTCAAATTCCCTTAAAAATGCAATTGAGGGGGCGCCTGGGTGGCTCAGTTGGTTAAGCGACTGCCTTCGGCTCAGTTCATGATCCTGGAGTCCCGGGATCGAGTTCCGCATCGGGCTCCCTGCTCAGCAGGGAGTCTGCTTCTCCCTCTCCCACTCCCCATTTGTGTTCCCTCTCTCGCTGTGTCTTTCTCTGTCAAATAAATAAATAAAATCTTAAAAAAAAAAATGCAATTGAGGGGTGCCTGGGTGGCTCAGCTGGTTAAGCGTCTGCCTTCTGCTCAGGTCATGGTCCCAGGGTCCTAGGATCGGGTCCTGCATTGGGCTCCCTGCTCAGCGGGGAGTCTGCTTCTCCCTCTACCCTTCCCCCCTGCTCGTGATCTCTCTCTCTCCCGCTCCCTCTCTCAAATAAATAAATAAAATCTAAAAAAAAAAAATGCAATTGAAATTTTGACAGGGATTACATTAAAATTAGAGACTAATATGAGAAGATCTGTATCCTTGAAATTTGAATCTTCCTATTAAGCAATATATCACTCCATTTATCTCAGCTTTCTTTCATGATCTCTAATTTAAAAAGTATTGTTTTATTCACAAAGGCCTTGAACATTGGCTATTCTAAGACATTTTGTATTTTTTGTTAATACTGGGAATAGACTTTTTGTTATTACAATTTCTGATTATTGTGGGGCACCCGGCTGGCTCAGTCGGTGGAGCATGCGACCCTTGATCTCGGGGTTGTGAGTTCCAGCTCCATGTTGGGCATAGAGCTTACTTAAAAACAAAAATTTCTGATTATTGCTAGTGTAGAGAAAAATTACTGATTTTGGCATGTTGATATTACATGCATTTACCTTATTATTTATAGCATTTAAGTTTTTCCATTTATAAAAATTAAACTTACATTCCTTTCAGGAAACACATTTTGCTTAATATTAGATATAACCATTCATTAAAACCTAAACCCTGGGGCGCCTGCTGGCTCAGTCAGTGGAGCACGAAACTCTTGATCTTGGGATCATGAGTTCGAGCCCCATGTTGGGTGTAGAGATTACTTAAACAAAAATTTAAAAAAACAAACACCAAAAAAAACAAAACAAAACAAAAACAAAAACCCTAAATCCTAGGGTAACTTATTAAAGCATTTAAAATTTTCCCACACATAATCATTACCAGATGATCTGATATGTGAACTTCAACGAAGAGGATTCCTTACATTACACTCAAAATAGAATGTAATCAGTGAAAATCTATTCTTACTACTGTATCTTTTAAAATTGGCTTATCTATAATGATTAATGATATGTAAATACAAATGAGCTACATTACAGCCAAAAGTGTAATTTCATGTATAACAGGTTAGCCAGAAGTGTAATTTATTACACATAATTTATTACAGCTATGCTTCATGTATAATTTCTCCTGGGACACATACAATTAAACTTTATTTTATATCTGCTGAATTTTCCAGTAAAAGTAAAACCAAACCTAAAACCGACAGTGTCTTTTCAGGCTCAGTTTCCTACAGTCTAACCACGCTAAACTATGTGCTGTTTCAATTTTTGTGTATGTGCAGCCAAAGCGAGCACAACTTGGTGTTTCAAGACGTGCCATGCACTTTCATCCTTCTCTTTTGAGCCAGCTTTTTTTTTTTTCTTTTTTTTTCCTACCTATCAAGCCCAGGTAATCCATTCTTCAAGGTCTAGCTCAAGGTTCAGTTTCTCCATGTCTTACTTGGTTCCCTCCCAATCACTAAATTGTGAGCAGGGATTTTTTTTTTTTTTTTTAGATTTTATTTATTTGGGGCACCTGAATGGCTCAGTCCTTAAGTGTCTGCCTTCAGCTCAGGTCATGATCCCATCATCCTGGGACAGAGTCCCACATCAGGCTCCCTGCTCAGCGGGAAGCCTGCTTCTCCCTCTGCTGCTCCCCCTGCTTGTGTTCCCTCTCTCGTTGTCTCTCTCTGTCAAATAAATAAATAAAATCTTTGAAAAAAATATTTTATTTATTCATTTGAGATAGAACGCGAGAGAGCGCACACATGTGATCGCAGGAGCTGGGGGAGGGGATAGAGGGAGAGGGAGAAGAGCAGGGAGCCTGACAGGGCTCGATCCCAGGACCCCGGGATCATGACCTAAGCCCAAGGCAGATGCTTAACCGACGAAGCCACCCAGGCACCCCTACTTTTTCTTTATGCATCAGCATCCAGCATAACGTTGGGCAGACAGAAAGTACTGGATAAATAACTGGTAAATGAATAATGAGAACTGATTGCTTCTTCCACGGCATTTCACATCTTATTCTCTATTTAGCACTTATTTCTTCCTTAAATTATATGTGATTTCATTACAGCACATTGTTTACTGGTCATTCTCTCCAGACTATAAACTCTGGGAGAGGAGAAAATGAGTCTGATTCCTCCTTTAGCATCCTCAGCACTTAAGAGGGAATATGTATTTGATAACTGGATACAGCGTATAAAGGCACCAGATATTTTAAAGGAGGTAAAACTATTTTAAATAAATTTCAGGGAAGATGGGGCACTTTGAAAGCCTTAACCTGGTGCTGCCCGTCATTTGAAATTTATCCCAGAAAGATTAACTCGCTGGCACCACCTAGTATCCAATAAAGGTGGTGCAGCTTTCACAGAAACTGCGGAAATAGCCCTCAAAAACTGTCATCTGGAGCGGAAGATGCACTCATTCATGCTCACCTTGTCTCTTAGTACTTTGAACTCTGCACACTCTTGGCCGGTCCCAAAGTGCATAAACCTCCAACTGTTGAAGTTCCAAGTGTCATAAACTTGAGGAAAGCGAAATTATTCATCAGGACTACAAGAGGCTCAAAGTTCAAACCACTTGGAGGTGGAGTTGGCTGGGAAACAGGGAACCATTAACAAGTAGTTTCATTGACTTTACAGAAACTAGCCTAAAGCAGTCCAGATAACTTCCACCTGAGCAGCCTGCATCGGACACACACCCTTCTCTTTTTAGGAAGACACCATGGGAGAGAGGGAGCGGGGCGAGGAGGGGCAGAAGACGTTTTCTCTCTTGACAGCGCCTCGGGCAGCCTTGCTGAGGCGTCCCCTAGCGATGCTGCGGGTGTTCCTGAGGAAAACCCTGCACCCCCACGTGTCCGGAGCGCGGCTGTCAAAGCCAGAAGCACGGATAAGATAAGGGCGGAGAGCACACGTTTTTCCCGGCTGGACGTGAGCAGCTAGGGACCTCAACCATCGGGACGCGACACGGAGCAGCTCGGGCCACCGCCCCAAACGCCGTCTCCACGGGGGAACTCGGAGCTCCCGCACTTGGGTCCTGCGGCGGCCGGGCTCGACTAGGCCCCAGCTGCCACCAGAGGTCGCAATGAACCCCTGCCCCCGAAACTCTTCCAGCCCTCCCAGACCAAAACCCAGACAACCTCCTGGGGCCCTCGGGGTCCCCTCTCCGCCTGTGCCAAAGCCTTGGTCCCAGAGTTCGGAGCCAGGGGCCCCGCCTACCTGAGGGTCCCGGCCCGGCCGACGCTCACAGTACGAGTACTTCCGCCGGACGCATGCACTTCCGGCCTCCAGGAGCCAATGAGAATGTAGCCAGGGGTGTTCCCCGTCTGGCGCCTGGGCTGCGGGTCGTCTCCGGGAGGGCTCGGGCGGGTCGACGCTGAGGACGTGGTAAGCCCTCTAGCCCGAGCCCCCTGAAAAACCAGTCTCTAGGGGAGTCAGCGCAGGACTCTGTCGCAAGCATGGGGGAGTCCAAGATGGTGGAATCTTTGAGAGGCAGGTATAACGGTCCCCGAGGCAAGGTCATATTTCCAGTTTGGGTCAAGGAGTCTTGCCCCTTCATTCTTTCCATCTTTCTTTTTTTTTTTTTTTAAAGATTGTATTTATTTATTTATTCATAAGAGACAGAGGCAGAGGGAGAAGCAGGCTCCCCGCTGAGCAGGGAGCCCGATGCGGGACTCGATCCGAGGACCCTGGGATCATGACCTGAGCCGAAGGCAGATGCTTAACCCTCTGAGCCACCCAGGTGCCCTCTTTCCATCTTTCTGTGGAACCAAAAGCCTCGGTAATTTTTCCTCTGGCCCTGTGAACAGGTGATTCACCTTGGGAAAAAAAAAAAAATCCCTTTGTAGAGGCTTCTTGAGCTTGGCGGAGGTGGGGGGGGCGGAGGAGGAAGTTTTCCGTTCTGAAGGACTTCTCTTTCCTCGGAAATCTGTCTTTCCGAATCCATAAAGACGAGACCCGCCCCCCAGGAAGCGGTTTGACGCTCACGGCCCCTTGAAGACACTACCAGCTGTTGGGCAGCACTTTTAAAGTTACTGAGATCGTGGGCGGAAACCCTTTTACCAGCTGTTGCCATCCCCGCTCCATGAGTCCGTAGTTCCCAAGACAACATGAGGGTTGACGGCAAAATTGTTTCAGAGATGTTGCCTTTCAGGCTAATTCTATTCCAGCCACCCCAGACAGACTTCCAACTAAAGATACCATAGGAATCTACCAGAGAGAATTACTTCTGCCAGTTCGAATTGTAGGATTTCGTACTTATTACCATACGTTGTTTTTCAGAGTTACAGTTTGGGTGTGAAACCGCTGTGGCAGCCCAACTTAGAGAAACTTGACACAGTTGGAATGGTTCCAATAACCTACCTTGCAAAAGGCTTCGTGTTCACAGAATTTCTTTTGTGAAAGTAAGTGGACAGCTCTGTTAATGTAATCATCTCTAATTTTTGATACGTGAATGCGTGTGGACGGGTCAAGGCTTTGAGAAATGCGGAACTCCCAGGGACAAATAGGGTCAGTGCCAAACAAAACAAAACTGAAAAATATACTTCTTTGTTTCACCATTGGAAGAACTTGCTAAATACACATTTGCTCATAGTGTACTTCCCCTAATTTTTTTTTTTTTTTTTTTAAGATTTTATTGATTTATTTGACAGAGAGTTAGAGCCAGAGAGCACAAGCAGGGGCAATGGCAGAAGGAGAGGGAGAAGCAGACTCCCCCCTGAGCGGGGAGCCCTCCTCTGGGCAGGCCCCTGGGATCATGACCTGAGCTGAAGGCAGACGCCCAACCATCTGAGCCACCCAGGCGCCCCTACTTCCCTTAATTTTGAGGATGCTAATATGGTGTTCTATTCAGGCATTTGTGTTGGTTTTAGTGTGTGCAATCATAGGAGCTGTGGAGGGCAGGCCTCACCCGATCCATGCATTCTGTTTGCCTGCTCTTCTTTCTCAGTGACTTGATATGATTCAGCACTTCTATACTGAGGGTGTTCCTTGGGTTCTTGTCTCCATTTAACGGATAATGAAAAAGTACTCCTAGTGCATAAGTAAGAGAAATTGGTTTGGGTTCCAGTTCTCAAACGAAAACAGAATCAAGGCTTTGGAGGGGTTGGTGAGGGAAGAGAAGAAACTGGGAAGATAGGAATAACATGTTAGGTAGGTAGTCACTGGAGAGAGCATGGGGGAAATAACCTCAGAGCTGGGAGTCATAACTGGGAAACTGGGATAAGTACTGTTTGGTAGCTGGAGGATTTTAGGACATTTTGACTTGGACTTGGAATGGGAGCCCAGAGAGTGCAGGTTGCTCCAACTAGGTAGGGAAAATGCTGGGGCAGATGAAGCTTGAGTGGCTAACAAGAAGTACATGAGCCAAAGGCTCTCTGAACATGTGGATCTCTTAAATATCTACCAGTAGATAGCTTGTACCATTGTAAGTCTGTTTTTTTTTAAGATTTTTTTTTTTTTTTAAATTTGACACAGAGAGAGAGAGACAGCGAGAGAGGGAACATAAGCAGGGGGAGTGGGAGAGGGAGAAGCAGGCTTCCCGCCACCGAGCAGGAATCCTGATGTGGGGCTTGATCCCAGGACCCTGGGGTCATGATCTAAGCCGAATGCAGACACTTAACTGACTGAGTCACAGAGATGTCCCTGGTTTTTTTTTGTTTGTTTGTTTAAGTAAACTCTATACCCAAACCTGGGGCTTGAACTCATGACCCTGAGGTCAAGAGTTGCATGTTCCACTGACTGAGCCAGCCAGGCGCACTTCTCCCCATTATTTTTAAGCTATCCTTTTATATTGTACCTAAAATCCTTTCTCTGTAGTCTCCTTAAGGACCTTCCTCCATCAATTATTCACTTTCTTGAAGCTTCTGTGACTTCCCCAACCTAGCAATAGTCTTATTCTTTTTTTTTTTTTTTAAAGATTATTTATTTATTTATTTGAGAGAGAGAATGAGATAGAGAGCATGAGAGGGGAGGGTCAGAGGGAGAAGCAGACTCCCCGCTGAGCAGGGAGCCCGATGTGGGACTCGATCCCAGGTCTCCAGGATCATGACCCGAGCCGAAGGCAGTCGCATAACCAACTGAGCCACCCGGGCACCCGCAATAGTCTTATTCTTAAAAACAAAATTAAATAAACAACCTTCTCTTAATTATGATATCTCACTGAAGATAGTGTTTAATATCTCTGGGTTCTAATCTCTCTCTCTCTACGTCTGTCTGCCTGCGAGATCTCTACTTGGATGTCCGGTGTGTGCCTCAAATTCAATACCTATAAAACAGTAGCCTCTGTATGCTTTCCCCCCACACCTCCTCTAATATTCTTTGTCGACTAGTGGCACACCATCTACCCAATCACTTGAGTCAGAAATCTCCTCCTTCTCCCTGCATTTCCTTCTCTCCTCCATTCAGCCGCTTGTGAACACTTGACATCATCCCTCCTGTTACTACCCTTCATTATCTCTCATCTGAACCAATGGAGTGCTCCAAAGCAGTGCTTTGCGAACTTTAAAGAATCATACAGATCACCTGGGGATCTTGTTAAGACATAGATTTTGATTCAGCAGGCCTCAGGGCCTGTGATTCTGCATTTCTAACCAGCCCCCAGGCGATGCCCATACTTGTCCGTTCTGTCTTCACTCCCTATCTAGGTAATGTCATCCTGTCTTGTGACTTTAAATACCATCTATATGCAGATGACCCCAAATCGCTAGTAAATCTCTGTAGTCTGTACTTCCCCCCCCTGAACTTGGCTCTGTTCTCCATTTGCCTACTTACCATGACCACACTTGGATAGCTAGTAGACCTCCCAAATGTAACTTCTGTATAAACTGAACTACAGATCTTCTCCCCTAAACCTCCTCCCTGGCCATCTTTTTGTTCTCAGTCAAAGGTGACTCTTACTCTTTCAGTTGCTTAGGCCAGACGTTTTTGGAGTCGTCCTTGACTCCTCTTTCTCTCACAGCCCACATTCCTGTCCTCAGCAATCACATTGGCTCTCCATTTATACTATTTCCAGACTCTGGTGCCTTGTCACCACTTCTGCTGCTGCCACCCTGGTCCAAGTCAGCATCAGCTCTCACCTGGCTGACTGGAGTAGCTTTCTGTCTGGTCTCCCTGCTTCTACCCTTACTTCTCTCTACGTTCTGTTCTCAACTTCAACAGCCAGAAAGATCCTTTAAAAATCTGTTGGATCATGTCATTTCTCTGCTGAAAACCCCACAGTGGCTCCCTTTCACCTCTTTGACTACATCTGCCCCACCTTCTGTCTGTGAACTCTGACTCAGCCATTCTGGTTTCTCTGTTCCTGGAGCATGACTGGCATACTTCTGATTTTTCGTGGTTACCTTTGCTTATGACATTCTTCCTTCAGAAATCTGCATGGCTCACTCTTGCCTCTTTTAATTCTTTGCTCAGATGTCACTCGTTGGGGCCTTTGCTGAACACCCTACTTAGAATCCCACCTCTCCTTAACCTCTTGCCCTGCTTTGTTTTTCTCGCAGCCCCATTATTTAATATACAGAGTATATGTGTATTTATTTTGATTATTGTTTGTCTCCCAACACTGGCATGTAAGCTCCAGTGTGGATCGGGAATTTTGACAGTTTCATTTACTGCTTTATTCCCAGCATCTACAGCAAAGTGTTTGTTCAGAAATATTTGCTAAACTATGATGAATACATGAGAACTATTTCTAAAGTTCACTGGTACATTACTTCCTGTTGAAACCCGTGAATACATCCCCATTCCTTACAGGATAAAATCCAGTCTCCCTAACATCACATTTGAGGGTGGAAAGACCTTGAAAACAGTATTCTAGTAGTTCCATGTTATCTTTTTTTTAAGATTTTATTTATTTATTTGAGAGAGAGAGAGAGAGAGAGAGCATAGGCAGGGGGAGGGGCAGATGGACAAGCAGACTCCCCTCAGACCCAGCAAGGAGCTCAATCCCAGGACCCCAAGATCATTACCTGAACCGAAATCAAGAGTTGGTTGCTTAACTGACTGAGCCACCCAGGGGCCCCTCCAAGTTTTTATTTAAATTCCAGCTAGTTAGCATACATATTTTGTTTCTTTCTGGGGTATATATGCTATTTATTTATTTATTTAATTTATTTTTTTAGTGTAAGCTCTGTCCATTGTGGGGCTTGAATTCACAACCCGGGGATCAAGAGTCTCTTGTTCTACCAACTGAGCCAGCCAGGTGCTGAGAATTTGATTTTTTTTTAAATTTAATTAATTAAATGATTAATTATTTAATTTTTTAAAGATTTTATTTATTTATTTGACAGAGAGAGACACAGTGAGAGAGAGAGCACAAGCAGGGGGAGTGGGAGAGGGAGAAGCAGGCTTCCCACCACAGAGCAGAGAGCCCAATGCGGGGCTCGATCCCAGGACCCTGGGATCATGACCTGAGCCGAAGGCAGGTCTGTTAACTGTTAACTGTTAACAGTTAACTGACTGAGCCACCCAGACGTCCCCAGACTACTGTTCTGAAGGGCAGGTTGTTGGGGAGTCCTATTTATTTGGTAGTTGATAATGTCATTGTATCAGTTAACTGTGACCACAGTAGTGCATCACAAAACCTCGGCAGCATACAATAATAAACGTTAATTTTTGCTCATGAGTCGAGGGTCAGCTTGTGGGTTTGTTGATATAAGCCGGGCTCAGCTGATCTCGCTGGGGCTTGCCTGTGTGTCCGAGCGTGTCATCTGTGGTTTGGCTGGTGCAGGATGGCCCCCGCCGCATAGCTGGTGTGGTTGGCTGTCCATCAGTGGGAGTACAGTCTCTCTTCCAGGCGGTCTGTCATCCTCCAGCAGGCTGGCCCTGGCTTGTTTTCATGGCAGAGGCCGGACTCCAGAAGAGTGTGGAAGTGTGCAAAGCCTCAAAGGCCTGGCTCAGAACCGCACACTGTCACGTCTGCTACATTGTTTGGTCCAAAGCAAGTCACAAAGAGGGGGAAGGAGATCCCATCCCTGTACAGCAAGAGCTGCAAATGCACCCTGAAAAGGAAGGGTGGAGGATGGGGCTGTCTTTGTCATTGAAGCCACAGGCTTTTGTCCATCCACTTGGAAGGTGGAAGGACATCTAAAGACCTAGAACTGAACTTGTTTCCTTTTTCCTTTGCAGACCACAAGCAAAGTGTCAGAGTTTTCCATTCAGATCAACAACTTCAAATTCTTAGCATGGAAAATTCAGAGAAGATCGAAGTGGTTCTCCTTGCTTGTGGTTCCTTTAATCCTATCACCAACATGCATCTCCGGCTATTTGAGCTGGCTAAGGACTACATGAATGAAACAGGTAGGAACAGTAGCCAGGACACTACCCCAAAATATGGCACTGTGGCTTGTTGGGTATTTTAAGCTGAAGGAGTTTGAAAAAATGGCAGAATCAGGAAGGTCCCTCTGACCTCCTCCGAACCGCTCTCCCCTGAAGCAGCTCATAAAATCTTGATGTGAGAAGTGCCCTCCGTATACTGGGAGGAAAGGAGCATCCTTATTGCTAAAGACAGATGGATGCCTGGAAGAATCTAAACTAATGGGCCTTGCCAAATTTCCCTGAGTTTACTACACTTACCTTTGTACTCTTTGCCCTATCATATTTCTCGACGACTGTCCACTCTTCACTAAACCTGGCATAAAAATACTCAGGTTTAACTGTTTCTTGGGGTCTTCATTTCCTTATGAAGACACCCGCGTCACATAAACCTTCTATTAAATAAATTTCTACATTTTTCTTCTGTTTTTCTGTTTTTGTCAGTTTAATTTCCAGACCCAGCCAGGGACCCAAGGAGAGTTGAGGAAAACTATTACCTCCCCTACACAATATGTTTTGTTACATAAATGATCATGCATATGCTGCTAGATAGATGGATGGTTGCTCAGACTCACTAATAATCCTAATAATCAGGGAACTAAGATAAAAAAATGAGATCTATTTTGCCCATCACATCGACAAAAATGTTTAAATTTGATAGTGTCAAGTATCAGAGGTTGGGCAGAAATGGGTTCTTACATACACTGTAGGTGAACTGTACACATTGATGAAGGCTTTTTATAAGGCAATTTGGCAATATCAAAACTTACATTGTGTAGGGGGTTGGGGAGTTAGTGTTTCATGGGGACAGAGTTTCAGTTGGAGAAGATGAGAAAGTTCTGGAGACAGATGGTGGGAGACGGATGGTGGTGAGGACTGCACAACAGTGTGAATGTGCTTGATGCCACTGAACCGTGCACTTAAATGGTGAATTTTATGTTCTATTTCACCTTGTTTGTAAATGAATGTATGAATGAACCTGAATCCCTGTTTTGAAAAGGGGGGGGTCTGTTGTAAAACCATATTGATGATAACATTTCCTGTGCATAAAATCTAACTTGTTACACCTCACATCAAATCTGACTCTTTATCCAGGAAAATATAGAGTTATCAAAGGCATAATCTCTCCTGTTGGCGATGCATATAAGAAGAAAGGACTCATCTCTGCCCGCCACCGAGTTATCATGGCAGAACTCGCCACCAAGAATTCAGAATGGGTGGAAGTTGACACCTGGGAAAGTCTTCAGAAGGAATGGGTAGAGACCGTTAAGGTGCTAAGGTATTTATGGTGAAATCAGCTTTGTCAGTTCTTCGGAAATGGGTTGGGGCTTTTTGCCATGTTCCAGTGCTGCCTGTGTCTGTGAAATACAGATTTGCAAACTGTGACTCGGGTCGGGAGGGCTTCCCACGTCCGGTGATTTCTTGGGTGTAGAGCACAGCTGCAGAGCACGGGGCTTCCTTAGCCTTTATGCCTTTCATCATGTTTTGAGCTGTTTGCATGCTTGTTACTGTATCTCTACGAGAGAGAATACATAGAGAAGCCTGCCCCAGACAAGAAAGGCACAGTTGTAAGATGTTGTCGTTAATTTTTTCTTTTTTTTTTTAAAGACTTTATTTATTATTTGACAGCGAGAGAGTACAAGCAGGGGGAACAGTAGAGGGAGAGGGAGAAGCAAGCTCCCCACCGAGCAGGGAGCCCGATGTGGGGCTCGATCCCAGTACCCTGGGATCATGACCTGAGCCGAAGGCAGACATGTAACCATCTGAGCCACCCAGGTGCCCCTTGTTGTTAATCTTATAAGATTTTTTTTTT